AATTAAAATTGTCGCTTTATTGCAGCAGCGGTTTACGCAATATCGAATTTCATTTCGGTGCAAAGAACCCAAAGCAAGCGCGTGTTGGCATTGTTATTGCACTTAATCAATAACAATAAATTAAATTATAGAATAAGCACAAATAATTTGTAAGGGCAGCTGACATTGCTATTATAATAAATAATAAATAAAAATTATAAATTTTGTAAAATAATAAAATTAATTTGTAAGTGCAGCGCACTAGCAAATTTTAATAAATTTTAGATATACTTCTCAATCGAAAGGGTAACGTGTTTTATTTTAAAAACGCTCCGTGATTCGACTTAAAATAACTTATAGTACATTGTTTCCACTTGAAATTATTGCTTATTCCAAAATTTATTATTTAAATTACTTTTCTCACTCATTTAATTCATTAACATGATCGGCTTCGATGTCTAAAATGGAGACCATTTAAAAATAATAGTGCAAAAGTACTTGATTGTATTCATGTTAACCCCTAAAAGTGCGCTGGTTGTACAATTCCGGATACACCAATCTATTTTAAGCAATTTTTTTTCTCACACTATATGTCATAATATTGGGTTTTAAAGTTCTTAATTTTATCAAAGAAACTACAAATAAATACATCAAATATATGGTTAGATGGCTCATCTTCTTATTGCTTCCAGTTTTTTCTATAATCAAGGTAAAAACAAAATAAATTAATTGCCATTAGATGGCGCCTGCATTTTTATTTTTTTTAAGTGCAACTTTAAATTTGAATATATTGCGAACGGCCATGTTATTTAGAATGTCTCGGGCATGGCATGAGTAAAATTGTTGTTGTTTTCAATGCAAATTATAAAATTGAGAGTGAGAGAGAAAACAATATGTCGGTTCACATATCGGTATGAGAACCGGGTTATTTGTGTCTCGGCACTTAAGCAAAGCAGTGTTGTTTAGTAATAATTTTCACAATTTGCGCATTTTAGAATAATATTACTACAATTTTAATACGTTTTGGAGTAAGCATCACATCATATTTTATAAACCGATAATAATCTAATTATTACACTTTCCGATTTTAAGGAAAGGCGTATAATTTTATAAGTGCTGTTAACAATTATTATAAGAAAACATAATAATAATTTAACATTATTACAGCCTATATGCGTTTTTTTTTTTTTTTGTGGTGGCCAATTGAGAGTGAGCATAACTACATTTCCTTTTAAAAAATTACGAAATTGGCAATACTGTTGTGATAGTCTACATAGCATGCATTTTTGGCATAACCCGAAAGAGCCAATTTTGCCGTTCCAGAGACACTCTACATAACATGGCCTTAAGCAACAAAAAACTTTATATTTCAATATCTTGAGAAGTTGGTTATATTGCCATACAGCATTTTGGTAAAAATTGCTTATAGGGACAAACTCTACTAAAATTTGTTGTCAAATGGGCGTACGCGGGAAATTAAAATTGCGCATATAATCGTTTCCAATAAAATTAGAACACACGATTATAAAACTTAGCAGCATCTGCTATTTTATATTGCTTATTTTACTGGAATCAGCATTTTGTTTTTTTAAATTTAAAATCAATGTTTTTAATTAAATTTTGCCGTCTTGGGATATTTAGACATTATGTAAGAATATTTCAATAAATATATCGACTTAAAAATGTTTGCTATAATTCTGTAAGTAATTATTTAGTGTTTGTTTAGGTTTTTACTTTGAGTTCTAAAACAAAAAACAACAACTTATATTAGTTAAAAAAGTCTATATAGCTTTTTTTTAAATATAGCTTAAATATAGCACACTAAATGCAATTGATCTTTGTGAAAAATAAACAAATATTGACAAAATACAAATAAGTATAAATATATATAAGTATAAATAAATTAAGTGAACGTTAGGTTTAACAGGATCTGGTCCCTGGCATTTGGATTTACACGTAGAGAAATGAACTTATAGATGTTCTTAATTACATCTATTCAAAACAATTATATTATTACTATTCAAAACAATTATGTAGCTATTTTGATGATTATTACAAACATAACTTTTAAGTCTATAATAAGTAGTATTTAAGTACTCTATTAAAGCAAATTTATTCTTTATTTTATGCAGTATAGTTATGCAGTTTGATGTATTTTCTGACCATCTATCTACTACTCATATGTCTATATTTTGGAAAATATTCTCCTTAAACGATATTAGGAGGAGATTTCACACATTTTTGATATGTTAATTCAATAAATTTGTATTTCTTCCGTATGAATTTTTATCGATATCATTATCATCAACAGGTTATATCAGAGCGTTTTCGTTGTTTTAGTTTTTACAAGTAGTGTTTTTAGCCAAATAATTATAAGTTTTAATTCCATTTTTTGGCCAATATAAATTTTTCAAGTCTGTGTCAATAAAACAATTCACAATTAAATGATAACACGTTTGGAGTGATGTTATGCTAAGAAATGTCAACCTTTCCAATGAAAATGTCAGATTGCACCTGGCAAAACTTAGTGTTGCCTAGGCCAGAAATATATACCAGCCTTCGTATCACCCTTTATGATATATCCACTACATATCTAAATGCATTTGATAAAGATCCATCAGCTGATAATGTTGCAAATTGTCACTATTAAGAGTGACAAATTGTAATCCTTCTGGTATCACCCGAATACCCTGGTGTCATTTTAAAATTGATTTGTCATTAGTTTAGATTAGTTTTGGATTGACATATATCATAAAATAAATTTTTTTAAACTCAGTCACTGCTGTAACCACACATAACGGGCTTTGTTAAGTTTATGTTTGTTTAACTATTTGTAGGTGTTGACAAATAGATTAAGCAGAGAATTTTGCATCGTATTATAAAAGTGCTTGAAAATCGCTTGAAATATTTAAATGCAATTTGTTTATTCTAACAATATATTATTAATACATATGACTTGCATTTTATGCTTTTTTAATAAATACACAGTACCTTTTAATGAAGGTTTTTAACTTTGGAAATTTATCCTTATTTAATATTCGAATTGAACAAACAGTAAACTTTTAGTACTATCAGAACACTTTGAATTACTAGTTTAATTTCCGTTAAACTTTAATTCGACTTATTATTTAATAGGAAGTATACTCTTCCATAAAATTATCAACACTTCCAATAGAAAACATCTATTGCCAATTGTGCCGTTAGAGTTGCCATGGGAGACTAGTTAGATCAATCGTTGTTAATTGTGACTACACATTTGCATAGTTGCTTGATGAAATACTGTGCTTTAAGATCTCAATTAACTTGCCATATAAACAGCGTATCAAATTCCATTACTTTACAAAAATTAATTGCAATTTATAATATGAAAAAATAATTAATCTAACAATATGTATTTTTAAAAGCAGTAAATTATGATGAATGGTTAATTTTCGGAATATTTTTCTTTTATAACATTATAATTAATTAAGTCAAAATTAATAACAATATAGTAATAAGCAATAAAATTCATTATCAATAAATGAATATATATATATATATATAAATTAAAAATTACGATCTTTTTCATATTTCATGTCATCAAAAAATTAAAAATGACCTCGTTTCTCACTACTTGAACCTACATCAAAAATATATTATTTATATCACCCAATCAAGGGAATTATAACGCATTAATCTGTATAGGAATCCTTAAATGGGACATATCAATGCTGGGGTTTTGGAAATGCTGAAAAATGTGCTTAAGAAATAAACAGCATTAAAAAGGAAGCAACGAAGTGAACAATTTATTTTCTAACAAAAAAAAAAAAAAGAACCAAAACGAAAACAAGCCAGATTCAGAAAAATAAAAATATTTTATATAAAACAGATATAAGAAAAAGCATTAAGAAAAAAAGTAATAAAAAAATAAAAATACATAAAAAAAGTTATGAGAAAAAATATGACATAAAAAAGTGGGATTTGTAAAAAAAGAAGATTTTAATAGGCACAACATTAATATTAAAAGATATATTTTCGTGTATATTTCTGTCTGTTAAGTTGTTCGACTTTATGTATCTTTCTGTTCTTATACTTGTTTGCACAGCCCTTCCGTTTCTTTAGTTGTCAAATGCTTTGGAAAAAATATAACAAAACAAACTGACAATTGATCGCATTAGTAAAAAAGTAGCTGACACATTTTTTCGGCTTGGCATTTGAAGTTCTTTAAGAACTGGCAAATATGAAATATCAGAAATAAATATATCATAAATAAAGTAAAAAGGGAAAATTAGATAGCTTGAGGGAAAAAACAAATATATTTACGATTTTCTAAATCGTTTAAGCGTGAAGTAAACATTTCTGTGGCATATGTAGCATTTGGTTCAATTTACTTACAGACAACAACGAAGAGTTTTGAAGCTACTTTCATATGAGACTGTCACATCGTTATGCATTTGTGGTGGATGGTACCAATATTTGATTATCTAGTTTAGTGACGGGGTATGAAATCATTTCCATACAAATTTCGCTTCACAGTATTTTCTTTAAAGTTCTATAATGTAATTTACTAGGAGTCTGTTAACTTATGATGTAGAATTTACTATTACCTTCAACGTGCAAGTATACAACTCGTTAGTTGCATTTACTAGCAAGCTTACAATCTATTGCAATTTTCGGAGCATTATTTCCATTAAAAAATGGAAATCGGGGCTCTAGGCTTTATTAAGTATAAAAACGAAATAATTCTAATACCAAAACTAGCTTTGTTTTGAACTCTTTAAAACTAAACACTGCTTCGAAATTTTTGTAGCGCATAAAAAGAAAGCATACTTTTTGGCAACGATTTAACAATTTTTCGCATATTTCTTAAAAAATCCAAATAAATTTTTTGTTCTGTGCTCCAAGCGTGAAATTCCTTTTATTTCCATTAAAAAAAAAACTTAAATAAAAATTGCAGGCATTTGTCTGTTTGACTGACTTACAATATTTTCTCACCAAAAAAAACTAAACATTGGAGGATGAGGGCAATTGAAGGGTTTAAATCAGTGACCCTTTTCATGCTCACCCAACATTTGTACAACTATGTGTGCAATATCTGAGAGATTAACAAATATTGTAAGCATAGTTGGTGAAAAAACAGAAAAAAGAATTTATGTAAATGAAAAATGATAAGTAAACAAAATTCGTTCCTTTTTTATGTTAAATTCTTTTTGCAACTTTTTATTGCAAACATTTAAGTTAAAATTAGCATATTTTTAGGCGCAGCTAAAAGTTAAATACATTCTTCACTGTATATACATACTTGGCATTTATTATGGGAATGTGATAGTTGGGGTACTACTTACCTTGAATGGGCACATATATATTCAAGTAGAGGCAATCTTCTGATTGATTTTGTAGATATGGCAGTAAACGTTTTAAATACTCCAAACGTCCTTTAGGCATACGCTCCAAGGCCGCGGTTTCATTGGCGATGTCAGGAAGACGCTGTGGGCAAACGGGACTAAATCTACAATGTGAAAAAATAGGAATAAAAAGTAAAATATATAAAGCAAATGCAAAAAATGGTTGACAATTTTATGTGTCAGTATGTATATATCTTTTTTTTTATAAATTATGTGCTATTTGAAAAAGGATTAAGTCTTTAAGCCAACTGAGCTTACCAGCAGGCAAAAGGAGTCAACAACGCCTATTTAACTGCAGAAAAATAAAAAATGTTGCTATTAAGGCATACAAAAAAAAACTTTATAAAAAGTTTGTAACAGTTTTTGCGTTGTCCCTCTTAATTTCACTTTTTAATATAATATCGTTATGAAGAGATTAATTTGCTTGACTTCTGTAATCTTTTGTTTAACTTTTTAGCGTTTTTCAGCTGTGCACTTAAGAAATCTTTATGAATTCTAAACAGTTGAGTTTTTATTTCGCTTTATTTCATCACTGAAACCTCAATGACAACAAAAATGATTAAATTAAAAATTTAAAAAAAAATAATATGTAACAAAACACTTCATCAAAATCACCGTCATACCAAAGAATTTCCATAAAAACTCATAAATTAAGGACTAGACGACGTTTAATATTTAAATTTTTTCATCATACAACATGTCATACAAACACGCTTTGCCACATGCTTGTTATGTGCATAATTCATGTAAGTTAAGTGCTGCTCCTTATTAGCAATAATTCCTTCTTATATTTTCGCATATTGATACTTGAAACCACATAACCACTTCAAACAGCGGGATTTACTTTAAAGAAAAAACTTATCAAATTTCGACAACTTTGTAGTTTGGAGTTGACGGGTTCATAACCAAGTCTAGACGAAATACTTGCTAATGATTGATTGACTTATTGAAGTATTCAGCATGTGCTAAAGCTTAAGTAATAAATTGCATAAATTTAATAAGCAAGTTTTGCAGGATTTTACTGCTTGCTGGTTCATTGAGCACCAGTGATGAAACAATTAAGTCGAACTGTAGAGAAAAGTAGTAAAAAGAAGTAAAAAGTAGTAATAAAACTATAAGTATGCTGCAAGTGAAAACGAAAAAAAATTATAAATTCCAGACTGACGTCTATCTGACAATCTATATAATCAGCATATGTATAAAAATAAGAAATAAGCGGAAAGTAAATAAAAGAAAAATTAAATACAAGAAAAAAAATATTTTAATATATAATGAAAAAGTAAGAGAAAATACGAACACTGAATAAATACAGATATATAATCATAAAACGTAGTATAATAATATATATTAAGATATAAGGAGCTCATATATACAAATATATATTGCCGTAACTAATATTATTAAATGATTTATAATAATGATTTAATAAGAACAACAAGAGAAAGTGTATAATTGTTATTCTTTCACTCTTTTTTTCTCTCTGTCTCTTTTTCCCTCTCTTTCTCACTCTCTCTCTCCCATCTTTCTCTCTCTCACTATTAGTGATGTACTCAAAAAATTCTCACATATATTGGGCGCACGGTTGCCACTTGAAAATTTTTTCCTGTACCAAAATTGGTTTAAAAAGGTACCATTTCTGTAAAAAAAGGTCCAAAATTTTTTTGAACCTTTTTGTTTTTTCGTTCTGTGTTTTTTATAGTGTTATAAATGAACAAAATATAAATAGTATAAAGTTGCATTTATAAAAAAAATTAATTGGAAATATCCACAATAAAGTTGGGTCATCAAAAATGTACCATTTTTTGGACATGAGTACCAAACGAAAAAAAAAGTATCAATTTTGGTAAGTGGCAACCGTGGTCACAGTGTCTAAGTGTTGTTATTTTAGTTCCTTCAAAACAATATTTTTTAAAATTGACTATGGTCATCCTATTGTTTTTGATGGTTCCTTAATACTCACGGTTTTTCGAATAGTTTGGTATTTGGGTTATCTCATTATATGACCATATCATCTTTTTATTTTCATGCACCTTTACACTTATTGGTAAAACATTTATCAGCATGCTAACAATTCTTATTTTTTAAATTCTTATTTTAGCTGATAAGCAATATAACATTATTGTTTTCGAAATATGCACTATTAGATTATGTGTAGACATATAAAAAAAAGCAAATATATATTTATCCTATACATATCACTTAATACTATGCTTTTAAAGTGACTCAAACCTCAAGCAGAGTCAACGTGCACACCTTTTTCTGAGGTTAAAATTAACTTGAGATATTTGTAATGCAAAGTAATTGACATTAACTGATCTTCATTAATTTGTGCTTTGTTGCTTTCTAATACGATTTTTACCAAAATAAACAAAATTAGTAATAAGTTTTTTGCATTAATTTATATTCCATTACTGATTAACACCGTATATTATCTTTTTAGCTTCTATTCTGGAGAAGCAAATTCAATCAATTTATTCATATTCGTATAAGGTATGTTCAACGATATGTTGTCTTAGATAAGCATATTGGTTAATTATGATGTTGAGTAGTAATGTACTTAGTGCTGACTGAGACTGTGTTTTTTATAACTTTTGTAATCTTTACTACTCAAATATATTGTGGGTCGACTAAATAATTCAGCGTCTGCAATTGTTTCTTGAGTAACCGCACCGCTTTGATCATTTATAATTTCGGCTCGTTTATGCAATCGAGTATGCACTACCCTTTCCCACATATGTATGGCATGTGAATAGAATAGCTTGTTGCCGTTTTAGCTAAAACTATTTCTACATATTATCCGAAATTTCTTTATACTGAAACTGTCTTTTACGAGTATCATCTGTAAATAAGAATATTTACTGCACAAGAAATCCACAAATGGAAAGAAAATTTGTGTTGCGGTGTTTTTAGACAATCCAAAAGATTTTGATATCACATATTTTTCTTCAAAATTAAGAAATATATAAATTGTTGCCAAAAGAGTAAAAATTTGAGAAACTAAAGCCCAAACTTAGACTCGCTTTGCACCGAATATTGAATCTACATTGAGGTCTCACTTATATGATAAGACGTATACAATTTAGTATAAAATAATACATATATAATACATATATATACTAATATATACTAATACTACAAATAGCTGCTGAAATTTTTTTTGAACTATTATAAAAACGGAAAAAACTTATATCCCATTGTTCAGTTTATATGGCACCTATGAGATATAGCAGCTCGATTTTAGTCAGTCAGACAAATCATAAACGTCCACATACTGGAAGCACGTGTCCATATATTCAATCAAATAGTTTAAATCATTTGAAATAATTTAAATTGACATAGGCAGGTGGAAAGATGAATAAACTACAGGAGCTAAATTAACTTAAATCGTTTCTTCAATCAAGAATATATTATCTTGATGGAGTGTAATATAATTTCTTTGATCGGTTAAAAAAATCTAGATATACCTAAACCAGGTTCAGTTTTTTACTTGAAGGGTATAGAATTATGTATCAAAATTGATATCACGTTATATACTTATGATATGGAATATTGTTGTATAATATCAACTATTTATCATATTGATCTACTTAGAAGTACAAAAAGTCTTTATATAAAAGTTAAATATAATGGCTCTGAAAATACGAGCCCGGTGTATATAGCAACACAAACAAAATGGAAGTTATTAAAAGCTTATTTATAAGCTCATATAAGACATCATATATGTCTGATAGCTCCTTCACATATTTATATTGTTGAAGTTCAATTCTACTTCTTCTTAGCTGGCCATTACAGATGCCAGTCGTTCTTTACTGCATTCAGTAGGTTCCACCTGTTACCGATGTACTAACTGGTACTACTGTACCGAGTGCGTTCATATCGTTTGTCACCGGGTCTGTCTACAGAATAAAATAGCAAAGCTTTTTATGTTTTGAAGTAGTATTATGACTAAAACTGGAATTACTATTTCTTAACTTCATATTTTAAGTACTTTCATATAAATCAAATTTATTGCTAAAACATCACAATTTCGTTTGTTGTGTTTATGGATTTTTTTCCACAAATAATATCCAAATTCAGTGCTATGGGCATCATTATTAACATTACTTTGTTTAAGGACTTTTGTTTAAAACAAATAGCAAAATTTAATGCCAAATAAATACTTCAATGTTGCAATACTTTAAGGACTTTTAAAGAAATAAATTCTAATGTATTCCGTTTCATAACGTAAGTGCACATAAATGATTGAAAAATATCCTGCCAGACCCCAGAGCAATGTTAGGCCTTAATACATCTTGAAAAGTATAACACATGCTTAGAGAAATATATATGGACGACTGAATGAATGCACACATTCAAGGTTGGCATGACATTCAAGCATTCAGTAGTGTGCAGAAGTGGTCTTTGTATTAGAAATAAACATATTTTTCCCCATTGTTTAAATAAATATTTATGCAGAAATATTTTCTCAATATTTGAACAAAAGCAACAAATAATCTGTAGCAGCAGTTGCCATGCATGGGAGCTCCCACTGAACTTGATTCTGCTCTATTTCAACAACTCAACATTTTCACACTTGAGCTGTTACCACTTGTGCACTGAGGGATAATTTTCATTAAAAATTGCAGAAACAAAAAAAAAATAGTAGAAAGTATTTACATAATTTCACACAGCACTCGACACTAACGATATTTTTCATTAAGCATTATGATCCTTCCCAACACATGCAACACACTTTGTCAATTTCTCAACATGAATTCAAGGCTTCACTTCCAACACAGCGATTAACTAAAAGCTATAATCCATACACTTCATCCAGCATGCTATATGGGAGTACTTTGATGTATTAGCAACTTCATGGATACCCTTCACTTTATTTACTTGTAGAAATATTACTACGATTGCTGGCAAATGGACCTATGCATTAAGGCCGTTTTATATACTTATGCTTCAATACTTTGACGAGTATTTATGCTTTTTAATGTTTAAGTAAGTAGATTTTAAACAAACATTTGTGCAAACTTACGGTTAAATAGGAAGACAATGGTAGGCTTAAGCAAAAGTGCATTAGGTTTATTCTTAACTTTATTGTGCATTTTCTAACTCA